GAAAATAGAAATGTGAAGTTTTCCAGAGTGCACCACTCACCAGCAGCATGGCCTGTTCATGAAGCAACTGCTGCTGCAGGATCTCCAGGTGTCTCTGCTCCTCCTCCAGCTGACGACGGATGTACTCCTGTCAATCAAACACAGAGATCGTTTGATTGACAGGAGGAGGACAAGAACACATAGTAATCCAGGTGTCCGGAGGTGGACAAGAACACATGATATCATCAAAGACAGAATGTAGAAACCAGGCAGAACTTCACTGTTCAACTGCTCTGTGGATTATTAACAATAATGATTTCTTTGCACTTAATTACTTGTACTCTTGCTTTTTTTTGAGCACCAAATTATTTTTTCGCATTTAGAGTAAAACGTTTTACACCGATAAAGTAAAGGATCGAAGGTCTTTTTCTAATACACTTTCTGTAGTAAAGGATTGAAGGTCTTTTTCTAATACACTTTCTGTGCTGTTTAAAAGTCAAAAAAGAAACTGGAAATCCAACATTAATGCATTGCTGTACTTTCTAATGAAGTGATGTTCAACAAAAAAAAAAACAAACAAGGCAAACGATGCTAACGGTAGCAACAACAATTCCCTTCCATTCATACCTGTTCACGATCAGCTCTCCTCTTCTCCTCCTCGGCCCTCCTTCTTTCCTCCTCCTCTTTTCGACGGCGCTCCAGCTCCTCGATGCGCCGCTTCTCTTCCTGCTCGCGCCGGCGCTGCTCGCGCTCCTGCTGCCTCCTCATCTCACGCTCGCGACGTTGTTGCTGCAGAAAAATAATGGTACTTAATTAATCAGGCACAGTCTGTAGAACTATTATTGGAGAATGTCTGACTCAGTTGGTTGCGGCAGAGTATTTCAGATAAATATAAACAAAGCACTATTTTTGTTACTAAGTTTGATTTTGTTTCAAATAAAGCAGTTTTACTCAGTAGGAATTTTTAAGACATAAAATCTACAATTTACATGAAAAAAAAAAAAGCCACGAGCCTCCAGGTGAACCACACCCCTGTCAAGAACAAGCCCTAACACATGTGATACCATCACCTACAGCATGGGAGGTGCAGTAACATGTGACACAGCAGAGCCCGAAGACAGACATTTGATGATGGGATTTATTACTGATCATAATCTCAAATGTTACACTGACGCTGGTCGGAGTAATCCAAGAAGTTCACACTTGTCTCTTAAGATGTTCAAAAGGGAATAAATCAAACCAGAGCTGAAAATTAAAAAATACCTGAAAATAGTCGAGTGATTTATTTTTTTTAATATATATATATATATATATATACATGCATATACATACATATACACATACATATACATATATATACACATACACATATATATGTATATATATACACATATATACATACATATATATGTATATATACACATACATACGCCATTAGAACCGGGGTACTTTTACATTTAGAGAGGTATCTATAATTTCACTCAAGTTCGTGGCTAGCTAAGACGATAGTGATTTAATGGGAGTAAGACCTAAGTCTACCACACCGTGGTCCATCACATGCTGCTGTGAGCAGCCACATGCAGACATCATTTTCTTTGTCAGCGTGTGATGATGGAACTGAGCCGTAGAAGCTGCAGGACATAAAGGCGTCGGGTTTGCATTTGTCAACCGCAGCAGGTGATTCTTTAGAACAGGAGAGCACATGTGCTCTGGTATTTCTGATGTGACCTGAGTTTAACTGCAGCTCCTACTGTCTGACTCATGCAGCACAAGCACTGTCATGAATCCATATAAGAGCCTCCAGCTAAGAGTGCGGTGGGAAAACGCAGGCTTGAAAAATATCTAAAACTACTTTTGAAGGTCGATGGGTTCTTGTTATTCCGGGCTGTAATAAATGTAAACATCTGTCTGAGCACAGTTTTAATGAGCCTCAAACAGAGACGGACAGCCTGCCGGATTAAGGTTTGAATTATGATGTTGAAGTAGGTGAGAACTTGGATATTTGAAAGTCTGTTCTGTAGAATGTTTTGACTTGATTCAACATGTCTAAAAGAGTATAATATATTTTTACAGAGGATTGGTCATGTTGATTGACTTTAATATTAAATTCAAATATTTCTACACAAAATAAACATCAATTTCACTGCAATCCAACCAGGCGCACATTTTTTTCTGATGTGTCACGGTGAACCTTTCAAGGGCTGTAATTGGCCCCTAGGTGCAGTATAACTACATTTAACTCAAATTAAATTAAATTCATTAAATCGGTAACCTTTCAGGTTAATGCCATTGGGTCCTTTCAACTGAACATGGTAACTGTTAGCAAGTGGAGGGAACGTCTATTGCACAGCCAAACACACACCAAGACAACAGTGTCATCAACATATATGGAAATAACATAATCGCAAGTCATCATTAGAGGTTTCAATTTGAAACAAAAGCCAAGGACCCTCACTTCCTGTGCTTTTCCAGTTCTGTAATTTAAAGTTTTTACTGATTTCATTCTAGTCATTTCGAGACATCTATATAATGGTTTGACTTTAACTGAATTAACTGATATATTAACTTCCTGACAATTAAGTTAATTAATAATTACTACTTTATGACAGTCTTACATACTGTCAATCTCGTAACACATTTGCCCAAGTTATATTTAAGAAAAAAAAAAAAAATCAATCTTAACACATGCCTTAGCCAATTATTCTCTAAGGCTAACGAATATTGACGGGGAACTTACTTCCTCCAACCGTCGCCTCTGCTCCTTCTGCTGCTCAATGCGTTTCTGCCTCTCAGCCAGTAGCTGGCGCTTGTACTCCTCCTGCTCGCGCAGCTGCTGCTCCTGGAGGAGCTGCTGCCGCCGCAGAGCCTCTGAGCGCTCCTTGTTCTCCTGCTGCAGGCGGATAAAGTCGCGCCGCAACGTGGACTCACCGGGTACGTTGACGATAGAGCTGCGAGCGGGATCGACAACAGGAGTTACCAATGATGGAAGATTCTCCGCAGATTCGGCAACAAATAAATACTGGACCAATTGGTTTGTCGGACATGTGTATTGCTTAGCTGGAGGCTTTAATGTAAAAATAATGGACATTTATTGTGCAATCTATATAACAACAATCTTGAACAATGAGTGGAATTTATTCCCCTACCTTGGTTCGCCTTCTTGTTCAGATGCCTCTTCCTCCTCTTCTTCACTTCCACTGTATTCATATTCCGTCTCGTCTGTTGAAAAAAATAAAATTATAATTATTATTAATAATACTTAAAATAATAATTGACTCCCTTATTCGTCCCACGAAGGGGAAATTCACAGTGCGAGTCTTTGCAAAAAAAAAAGACACAGGCTGCCACATGGGAGGCACCGCTCAGGATAAGTAGGTCCTCTGGGAATCAAACCCAGGACTCGCTTTGCAAGGTAGACATGCTAATCATTAAACTATGGAACCACAAAAAACTTAAAATGGACATATACCCTGCACACAGTCATCAAACACGTCGTGGTGTGTTAGAATTGAATAATATTAACATATATAAACAAATATAAACAGAACCACCGTCCAACGGCGATGGTTGCATCAGACTCACCCTTCTCGCCCCTCTTTTTCTTGGTCCGGTCGATGTGGTCTTTGAGCTGAATGCGGACCTGCCTCTCATTGGGCTGGTCCCGGATGAAAGGGTGTTTGAGCAGCTGCTCAGTGGGAGGACGTTGGGTGTAGTTCTTCACCAGGCAGCCCTCGATGAAGCTGAAGAACTTCTTCGACCTGATCAGGTTCAGGAAATGTTAAAATACGTTTTTGGGTCTGTTCGCACTACGAATAGGTGTTACACAACGGGTTTCAGATGCCTCACTCACCATTTTTTGGACTTGAGTCGAGGAGGAGGATTTCTAGGGATGAGAAAGAGTGCTCTCATTGGATGCATGTCACAAAGAGCTGAAAGAACAAAAAGCAGGTGATGATCAGTGGAAGTGAAAACACTCGGCATCAATGGGGATTAAATCCTAATAACAATGCATTCCTAATAGGTTTATCCAGTTATTGTAACAGTCACACTCTGTAATGTAATGATACACCCATAAAAATCCGAATATATGAAACATACGTGGAGCTCCTTCGGCCATCTCTATGGCAGTGATTCCACAGGACCACAGGTCACTCTGAAGAACAGGAAGAAGAAGAGGAGCTGAGTTGGTTTTAACAAGCAGATGGTGTTCAGTCATCGTCCTTTACTCCACTGAAACAGCACGTGGGACTGTGTATTCTCACCCTGTAGTCATAGGTAGCGTCGGGGTTTTCATCGCAAGCAATGACCTCTGGAGCCATCCAGTAGGGCGTCCCGATAAAGGTGTTCCTCCGACCCACTGTCCTGTCCAGCTGTGCACTTACACCAAAGTCCACTGTGAGGATAAAAGGGGGGAAAAAGAATTGTAGGGATTGTACAGTTCATGATCACTGATTTAGAGATTGCGAGATACATTTGAACTTTTAAACTACATTAAAGACAGGGTCTGAAAAAGACCTCAAACTGAACACATTCATACCTAGTTTGACTTCAGCGTTTTCAGTCAGTAGCACGTTTTGTCCCTTAATGTCTCGATGGATTACGTGATGGGCATGAAGGTGAGCTAATCCCTGTAGAAATACAAGAAAAGGTACATTTTCATCGGGAAGGAACCAAATAAATACACAAATAAATCAAGGTTTAATACAAGAAAGAAAAGGTACATTTTCATCGGGGAGGAACCAAAAAAACACAAATAAATACACAAATAAATCAAGGTTAGTTCTTTTAAAAAAAATGTTTTTCAATTTTCAAATGTTCAATATTAGTTTTGTTAGCATTAGTTTTGTTAGCTGCGTGTTTTTCTAGGAATTCTAGAAAGGAAAACTATTCCATACATTTTAATAAATATATCTATCTGTGATTGACAACAAAGTCCAAACCACACCAAACCTCAATTTTTAAAAATAAATAAAAATAAATTAATTAAAAAAACATACCCTGAGGATCTCTCTGGAGAACATTTTAATAAATAAATCTATCTGTGATTGACCAAGTCCAAAACCACACCTCAATTTTTTAAAATAAATTTAAAAAACCAAAACATACCCTGAGGATCTCTCTGGAGATGTAGGCAATCCAATCTTCCTTTAGTGTGTTGCCTTTGGTGTTTTTTACCAGATCTGTGATGGATCCAGCTCCACAAAACTCCATAACCAACTGCAAGAGAGAGTGAAGAGAGTACACTTAAAAAACAAACAAAAAAAAAGCACTTTTATTTTTTTTCAAATGTTTCTTTTTCCTATTTTCTGAGCCACCAGATCAGATCTGACAGCAGATTTGCGGCAGCAGTGAGCATCAGACGCACATTCAGAGTATCTGGTGACATAGGTGGAGGTCGTCTGAGGCCAGAAGGAAAAAAAAAAGAAAAAGAAAACATCCCTTCCAACGAGTTTACTCTGTGCAGTCACTGGAAAAAGACAGCAAAAGAACTAAAGGGAGAAATGATCCCCAGAAATGTGTTTTTTTACAGCTAATAAACAATATAATGCATAGAAGTGTAAAATATAATGTATATCCAGTATGATGATTGAGTCCAACTTAGTGATTTGTAATATGTTAGAAATCTTTACAAAAAAAGAAGTTCATTGTACATATACAGATACATTAACACAAAACTAAATTTGAACCATCAACCTAATCCTGGGAGGCATTGATCACTTGCTGAAATGCCTGAAAAGCAAGAAGCGCTGATAGTAGTCCTGATCCTCTTACCCGAAGGCCATGGGATCCAGCTACGTCAAGTGTTATTTGAATATGAATGCTGGTCTCTGGTATAACAAGGACTGGGACTGGACACTGTTTGGCATTCTTACTACTACAACTCTTGAGGAATTGCTGATTGTATATTCATTATTATACAGAAAAAGCCCCAACAAGTTTGGCGCTTGTCCTGATTCCCGACTTCCATATCGGAACAGAGGCATTCTTCGTCTTTAATCTGATTTGGACATTCCATTTGATAAAACTCTTATATTATGCACTAGGGACGGTTCGATACAACAATTTCATGTCCAATACTGATACTGAAACTTATCTGCTGATACCCATATCAATCCATTACCTATTCAATGTTCAGTCCAGAAATTATAACCAATGTCAGACACATACAGATCCCAAGTATCGGAACAAGCCATACGTCTATCCGTTCATGCGCTAGGTGAATCAGTGCTATAGTCATCTCGGATTAATTTGGATGCGGAGGAGAAGTGAGTCCTTCCCAAATGGCTGAACTTCTCACCCTATCTCCAAGGGAGAGCCCAGACACCCTGCGGAGAAGACTAATTTTTGCTGCTTGTAAATTTTGTATGTTGCCTGGCATGGTTGCCAATACTGCATCATCATGCCTGTCTATTTCCCGCTCTATTCTTCCTTCCCTCGTCGTGATATTCATTATTGATAAAACCAAATATTAGATGTAAAATACCTTTTTTCAGTGGCTGGAGAAAATCTTCGCTCCAAATATATAAAAAAACCTGTAAATAATAGACAGAAATCGAGTCTTACCCATAGTTGATCATCATGACCTGGTGGACTTTTCTTGATGAAGGCTCCGTAGTAGGTGGCAATGTTTCGGTGATGGGAGTATTTCTTAAGCATGTTGATTTCTAGCTTAATTTCTTCCTCTTCATCCTGTAAGAAAGGATCAGGGAGAGAGTCATCAGAGACATACAGAGTGATCTGCTGTACAAACAAAGCTCCGATTCCACTGAGGTATCAACATCTGGAAGTCGATGGAAGAATAAAGAGGTTCATTTATCACAGTGAAACAGCCTGTCTATTGGTAGAGAAAGTCCAACTGTTTAAATACTTTCCAGAGGCAGAGCTCAGCAGAGCTGTGCAGGCTGGTGAGAACATACGAGATGGCGGAACATATTTTTTCATTTGCATCTGATGTTTGCATGGTTTCAATTTTTAAAACGATAGTCATAAAATTAAGCTACGGTTCGCTGTCGGATTGTACGCGACAGATTCCCGTTTACATGAAGTTCAGCAGAGTTCAGAAGGAAGAGTAACAGGGTCAGCTGGTCAGGCAGCCAGTCTTTGAATTTGCCATGAGTCCCCGACAGCCAGCAAGTCAGTTAGAGCCGCAGCAAGACAACTGGTCATTTAGCCCGGCAGCGTGCCATCCAATCAGAGAAGACACCAGTAAACCAGAGAGTGGGGCCTACGACTTCTGGTAATCCACTCAACTGCAGTGGGCCAACACTGAGTCAAAGAGTTTTCCAATGTTTGACAGTGAAAAGGAGTCAGCTGACCTGTCAGTCAACCAGTCACATGGTCAGTCAAGAAATATAAACAGTGTTTCTGTGAGACATGGAGACCTTCTGTGGATTTGACAGAACAACCCATCAGCCACAAACTGCCCGTCAAGCGAACATTTTTGGAACATGTCACTGTAATTACAGATACCGTGGTCTGACCGTAGGAGGGAGTATTACAGCAGGAACATTATAACGCATTAACTATCACGAGACATGAGTTACGGTTCAAAAATAACAGTCTAAAGACGACAAGAAGAGGAGACTCCTGTGCAAATGACAGAACATAAAAATGACCACCAAGAATGACCATCAGAAGAAATGACATGTCTGCATCCTGGAACTTCTAACCACCGTTTACTGGATCAGCCAGTACAGCTGGCAGTTTTCTTCTAATGTAGGAATATCTGCTAAAACATGGACAAAAAGAGGATTTTTTTTTTTAAATGCTCAAGATTTTACAGAAACCAGAATGAGAGTTGAAGAGTTCAACAGAGCCTGAAATTTACTGGACAAATACATCATAGAAGCATCTCAAAAGCAGAGCTTTGTATTAGTGCTAAATATTTTCGTGCAAAATTCGACTAGACTTTGACAATTTGATGGTTTTTTGGAAAAGGGTTAAACCTTACATAGCGACATCACCTCATTCTTTCTAGACGTTTTTTGCCTAAATGTTCCAGTTAGCTGTTTAGGAAACGTATTCTCCTAAACCCTCTGGTCTTCGCACCATTCATTTCCATTGCTGTTTTCTTAAAATGACTTCACACACACAGAGCATAATAAAGTATCCCATCATTATCGCACCTTTCTCTTTTTTCCTTGTCCTTCAATCTTTCTGTCTGTGTCTCTGTCTCACTTTCCCCGGACTATAAACTCATAGTCATAGTCATTCAAAACAAGGCGTCCCGGAGCTACTAATTATCATTCCTGGGCACGAAAAAGTGGGGAGACTCAGTGGCGGCCATATTGCTGCTCTACTATTGCTGTACACAATGTAAGCTGAGTGAAAGCACCACCGCAAATTGGAAGCATAAAGGACAAAAATGAAAATAGAGTGTTGGGTGGAGAGTGGTGATGGTCAAGAAAGGTTGCTGTGTAGCTAACAGACAAAGCTTTCAACAACATCCATATTTTTTGATCTATTAAGTAATAAAAAAAGGGAGAAAAATGGTGCATTTTCAGTTTTTGCACAGAAGACTTTTATCACCAAGAATACATGGCCAAAACAGGATGTTGTGATGTCTGCCTTTTTTTTTTTTTGGTGATAGTACTAAAGGGTGGAAACACTGTTTGAACCAAATATTAACAAGCAGATAAAAAAGAGAAATCCCGAAATCCCTCTGCACCTCAGTTTACTTTTCCTAAGAGAAAAACATATTTTTATTTACTCTCCTTATCTGGGTTTTCTCACAAGTACAAGGTCTTACACACTCGCAAATTTCCCTTACGTTGGAGGCCGTGCACTGGTTTGACTACTAAAAAAAAAAAACATTCAGCCATCAGTCTCCATCATTTGGTTCATAAAAAGCTGAATAATAAGGAGAATAACAATCACTTTGTCTAAAAAATACTCACATCTTTAAACACTTTCATTCAGAAGTTGATGACAATTGGTCAACTGGTTTGATAAAATATTAGTCTTTGACAAGTTGACCAATGGTTGTAGCAGAATAACATCTAATAAAATCCCACAGTGACACACAATAACCAGTGCCCAACCAGAAATGCTCACATCACTGACGCAGGACTACGGAGCAGGGGCTACAATATCCATCCATCCATCCATTATCTACAGTACCAAGTGTTCCTGTTGCAGGAAATGTGCATGTTTATGGGGCTGTAGGAGGAAACCGGGGCACCCAGAGAAAACCCACGCACACGTGGAGAACATAAAAACACACAGAAAAGGTCCACCAGGGATTGACCCATTGAACTAATGATCTTGTTGTTGTGAAGACAACTCTAACAGCATCAGGGTTCGACATTAATGCTGCACAATAATGATACTGTTTTGAGATGTACTGTTTGCAACAGTCATTTTTATTACTATCCCCAACAGGCAAATGAGTCTGAATATTTAGGAGAGTTTAACTTATACTATATTTATTTACTTATTTGATTTATATATCTATTTGAATTTGTATTGGTACAAATTGGTACCAACAAGTAAACCGAGTAAATAAAACCATTCAAAATTTCTGTAGTAAATGTAGTGAATACTTGTATACAACTATGTATTTTCTAATGTATTTCTCTTCTTGTTGTTGTAGTGGATATTTAAATTTGAGTAATACTTCCAAAAGAAAGGCCTTCCCCCTGCTGTAAAAAAAGCCAGAACCTTTGAAGCAAAGTTTTGTTGGCACTTTACAGAAAAGCATTTACATTTTTAAATATAAAATTATTTTTGTATATTTTTATTTTCAAGTAAAACTTGGAATGTTCACCTACTTAAACAGCCAGATATATTAGATTATTTATGAAACTTTAAATTTTAATATTTTCCAGTGTTGTTCGTTGTATTAGATTATTTAAAGGTAGTACTATGAAACTTATTTTAATATTTTCCAGTGTTGTTCGTTGTGATTCATCAAATAGATCCTCATTTGATCTATTCATTTTTAACAGTGTAATCCCATTGGCAAACGGAAATGTGATCAAGTTCAAAGGTCACAGTACCTGCAGCTGTACATTCCTATCATATCATGTAGCACTAATCTACACACGGGCTCTTCGGGAGTCTAAGTGAAGCATAAAAAAGCACAATAATGAAAATTAAAATAAAAAGATTGATATCTTCGTGTTGTCATCTAACGATGACACTAATGAAAACATGTGATTATAATAAACCACCTGAACATTCAGCCAAATTACAGCTAAGTGTCCACTGGCTGTTTGTCTCACATGTCTCACACTCTCCTGATCTGGATTTTGAAAGGGAAGTGGAATGTGGGTCAAAGCCTGTGTACATACCCATGCCCCGCACGCACACAGCGAGTGTGCAACTTCCTCCTTTTAACCACCGTCGCTGGCAAACAGCCAGACAAACTGAGTCTATTGTTTATTTAAGCGAAAATATAAACAGCGAAGAAAAAAAGATTAACCATGGGGTCTTGAAACGTTCCTGCACAAGTATTTCCCAGTGATTCAGAGACAATAAATCTATAAACAAAGCCACTCACAGGTTCCTGATATTTGCTCATGTTAGGTTGGATGTGTAGACTCATGCTGCCAAATAGATGAACTCCCTATTTGCTAGTTTTGCTAGTTATTTTTTACGAGAAACTGTAATTTTTATTCTAATGAGGAATTATATATATATGTATTTATATATACACACATTACACATATATATACATATATGTATATATATATGTATATATATTCCAAAATACTGATGGGATTATTGTGAAATGATGAATATATGGGTTATTCTGTAAGGTTATCCTGTATACTGTATTTTCTACCATTTTTAAAACACACCTCAGATATTTAAAGAGTAATAATTACACATTGAAGGCGTCTGTCTGTATGGTGTGAATGTGTTTTCCATAGCATTGGTAAAAAAAAACAAAACAAAAGAAGTTTTATAAACTTCTCCAGCTTTGCCTCAAATGAGCTCCAAAGCAGGAAGTTGATTCTTGTGACTAATCAATATCAAATACCCGGAGGCCACAATCTTCTCTAATACTCAACCAAGTGAGTCATCATCTTGACAAACGCCACGTTTCCACCACACACTTCCTTCCCTTCTTTTGTCCACATGGATGATTTCACAGACTCTGTAGAACTTAGAAGAGCATGGAGGTAAAAATCTGATCAACACCCTGATTATTGATCTGAATAAACTGAGCACAAGGCAACAATCGACGGTTTATTTGAACTCTAGATTTTAAAGAAATAACCCACTGAATGAATCCTGATTAAATACACCATAAAAGTGGAAGCATTCGTGGGGAATTTTTCCATTTACAAAATCTAAACAGATTCTTGTCCTTGTAGAGACAGTCCTATCCCCTGCAGCAGTTAAACCCGAAACATTATGTGACAGCTTTGGTGGAACTCTTTATGGTGTCTCGGCAGGAAATACTCGGCTGAACTCAAATATGTGCTTGTGAATTCTTGGGTATCATTTAGTTGTTCATTCGGTGATGGCAAAACAAAAGGCAGAGGGTGGAAAAGAAAGGAGTGATTAGCAATGTAGAGAGGTGGTTTTCATTGTGTAAGCACCGGGAGATTTTTTATACAGGCTCCAATTACACAGGCAGAAACTGCCCTATGGGTCGTGACTAAACTCTGCAGAAACTCTGGCGAGTGATCATCGAGGCTGAACGCACACACGGACGTGCTAGTTCTCAATCTGTAGGCCAAATGGTCTGAGCTGCTCTCAGGAAACTGAAGCATTTGCTTAACTTTAAACAAAATTCAGCAAAAACACAGTACACAAAATGTCAGAAAAAAAGTTCTATACACTTGAATATTTGGTTCTGACCTATTCTGTCAGCTGTAGTGTTGATGTCTAGGGTCACACTTTGTATCAGTTGTGGTCAATGAATCCTTCATTAGTTCTACACACTCGACTCTAGCTATAAAGTCAGATCAACGGTTTTTACATCAGGTGCAAAGTGAAACGCTAGCTAGCTAGCTATAAAGTCAGATCAAGGGTTTTTACATCAGGTGCAAAGTGAAACAAATGTGATTCATTCAACCAATAAAAGCCTTGCCTTTGAGGCCCAGGATACTTGACTCTTCACAAATGGAAAAACTTCAGTCTCTGCTTGTTCAATAACAACATCGAATCCAAAGTAAACTAAAAACCGGGATCAAATGACAGCTCCAATATGTGAAGCTACAACATTGTTATTTGACTCCGGTCTCATCCCAAAGGTGTAGGAGTTTTCTTTATGGTTTTTTTTTGTTTGTTTTTTTTTAAGCTTAAACAAAGATTACATTTCAGTGTTAAACCCATGTTAAAGTACACATGAGACTGTCCTCATTTGGGGCTTTAGATAAAGACAGTTCCATGAGCATAACATTTTGCTGTTAGCAAGTGAGCAAGAAGACCTTGTAGAACACCGGTTGGGTAGTATTAATGTACGTATAACTAGTACCCATCATTGATCAGTGTGCCCTAGTTAACAAGAATATAAAATGCAGGAAAACAGAGATTTGTATTTACTGACCTCAGTGACGTCCATGACCTTAATGGCCGCCAGCTGTCCAGTCTTGACATGTCGACCCTGGAGAGAAACAGAGAAGAGAGCGCCTTATTAAAAAAAAAAAACAATAAAAATTAAAGTAAGTCAGTAAACAGACAACACGACATCTGCTTCACAAAGTCTTACAGTGTTCTGTCACACATTTAAACAGTTTCAGTCGTGGATTATTATGCTTGCGGTCATTTTATAATTTCCAATATGTTTTCATCTGAATACTGGTCTATCCCTCACCGTCTACTATTTAAAACTAAGTGTACAATCAGTGTAAAAAAAAAAAATCAGCTCTGTTCGCCCTGTAGCAGCTCTATTGTCATCATTACAGGGTGTGTTTTTTGTCGTACGCATTCAGAAAACAACAGCAACAACAGCGCTCTGCATCTGTTTGCACTGTTTATCGCCCAGTGTCTGTGTCTGTAAGTGTTTGTGTGTCTAGGAGTGTGTGTCACATGATCGGGTTTCCTTTGTGTGCTGCAGGACTGCGACACCTGAGCCATCGCTCCCTGAACCAGACGTCGCTATGCAGCGGTTGAGTGATGAAGGCTTAGCCCAATTTGGTTTAGCCACAGGGGACGGTTGTGTGTGTGTGTATGCATGTATATATGTGTGTGGTATGTGTGAGAGAGAGAATTACTGAGTGAGTGTGTGTGTGCAGGTGGTGAAATCAAAGAGAACAAGGATGATTGAGACTATAATGATGACAAGGAACCAAAATCCATTTTTTTCCCCTGTGAGAAATGAGAAACTGAAAATGTTATGGCTTTGTTTTCTAAAGTACCGCTGTACTGGGAAAGGACAGGTTTTTTCCATTGTACTGTAGTGTTGTTCGGTAAATCAAGGTTGCAAATTATCTTGTCAAAAAATCAGAGAGCCCTAATGCTTCACAAAAACTCAGCTGAGCTTTAAAATGGTCTGCAGGTTGGTCATCGTCAAGGTAGGTTTCCCCAAAATCCCTCCAAAATCAGCCTGAGCAGACACGAGGTAGGTTTTTGTGGCATTATGTTGTTCACAGTTCAAAGCTCCCTCCAAAATCAGCCTGAGCAGACACAGACTTTTAACAAGAAAATCACTCTTTCACCCTTATATGGGATAATGGTGTCCATATCACCCCTCCACTCTTCAAACTGTTCTCATACAAAGGACAGGAGGCCCCCAAACTTACTGACAGTAAGGGCAGAAAAAAAAAATCTAATCTCTCTCCTTTTTACAAACACTAACAACTCATCTTTATAATTCCTCAAGTATCTTACTTACTGAAGTAAGATCATTAATAGTACACAGATAGTCCTGACAGCTGTAGAAAGCCATTTGGACTGATGCGTCCTTCAGCCTTTCTCATTCTAATGGGAGGCCCTTCAGCTTCCACTGTGATTATCAAAACAATGCCATCGTCTAAGTCTTGAAGGTTCCTCCGACTGCGTGTGTTTTCGTCTGGTTTTCCGCTATGTGGGAAAGGTGACCTCAGAACTCAGACTGTAACAATTACAGAAACCCCCAACGCCACCCCCTGGCCCCCCGCCGGCCAACTCAGACACTCACACAATGGTTAAAAGTGACATCATCCTTTCTGGCTCCTTTGTTCGAAAATACACACACACAGACATAGACACACACCTGGCTCAAAATGGACAGATATAAGAACATGTGAGGGGGAGACTTTATTAGTCTCTTGCTAAAGGAGCCATTAGTGATCTGCTACCAAGGATTTCACCTCTTTAGATACGGTGCCTGGTACTAGTACTGCATTACGCCTGCATTGAAAAACACAGGTGACCAAATAATACCATGAAAGCAGAATATAATACAAAAAAATACATTTGTAACGAGAGGTAAGAGCTCACCAACAACGGCTCCAAACTGTTACAAATAATTTGTCTGTGAAACTGTTGCTTGTAAAACAGTCTAAATGTTATTTCCACTTGTTAAAAAAAAGATAAAGTCAGTGACTCATTTCACATTATAAAACAGGTTGAACGGAGCAAAAAAAGATATATTTGGACCCATGGTTGGCTGTTCAAAGTAAAGTAACTCCAAAGCCATTTCTATAAAATAATACAAAGTGAGAACATTGTCCTCTAGCAGAGGGGCCACAGGTGCAACATGTTGAGCCGTCTCCAGGAGGATATTTAATATCAGTGCCAGTTCTCAGAAAATAAGTTCAAAAACGACAACAACCTTTGTTTTCTTTTTCTTTTCTCACTGTTAAATTAGAGTGCGTCTGCCTTTGTCGCGTTACGCACGCAACCTTATCCAACTGTGGCCCGCAGCCCGATTGCTGTTTTCTTTTTTCTTTTAAGATGTAAGATTTCACATGATGTGATCCTTATCAGCTGCACCCTTGTGTTGTTATTCATAGTATTAAAATATCATTATGTTGTTATTCATAGTATTAAAATATCATTCAACTGGAACGCTTTTAACTTCTCTCTTTAATCAAAGGTAAGTTCCTGATGTGCCTGATGTCTAAAGGATGAATCCTGATGAAATGTGGTTGAAAGATGGGGTTTGTATTAAGTGGTCTGTGGTTCAAATCTCTGATGGGTTGAGCAAGAAGCAAAACAATTGCCCTGCTCCAAGTGTCAACTACATATAGGAGTATTACTTTTTAGTTTTAATTATGGTACCATAAAAGTGGTCTAACTATTCGCCTAGCTTAAAAGCTGAACAATTACGACACTGCTCTATAGCTTTTCAGTCACGAATTTCAATGATTTGGTTATGGAACTACCATGAACATCCCAACGCTGACTTCCTACCCCATTCCGACATGACATAATCCTCCCGTCATCGGACTCTCCCATGACTGTCACCCTGCTGCTTTGGTCTGGTTCACACTTTTCAGCCTTTATGTTTTTCTGGAGGGCCGTAGAGGACGCAGACCATCTCGTGTTGGTTTCGGTGACGATGTTTGATGTCACGCGGTGTTCTGCTGTATTTGTTCAGGCCCCTTCAAGGCAACTTTTCATATGTACTGTAATAACGATCCGTGTCTGAAGTAACAGTCTCAGAGTCCGTGCGCTCTGGCTTGAACGCACGGAGAAAATTCATGCGTTCAAAACCATGCAGATTCATAAAAAAGTATCCAATTAAATCCTTAATAAATCCACACGCAAATACTGTATGTTAGGGTTACACATAAATATATATAATATATACATACATATATAAAAAATATATATATACATTTATATAAAAATATATAAAAAAATATACATTTATATAAAAAAAAATATAAATATATATAATATATATATATATATATATATATTAATGTTGAATATCTGCTAACTTCAATATCGTCCAAATAGTTAGATAAGGCATCTGATAATGTGCTCAATCGATACACAAATTCTATGTTTGAGTCCTGCACGTTCTACACCGTGGTAGGTAACTTGAGAGAGACAAGAACGGTCAGGTGGTTTTTTTGTCCAAATCCATTCTGATGGGTTGGTTTTTTGTCCATTTTTTAAAAATCTCATTACATTACAACTCCTAATAAGTCTTTGAAGGAAAAACAAAATCAGATAAAAGCTAGTAATTAAGGTGACTTTCATCAAGCCTCTGCTGACCCAAACTGAACCTTCAGAAAGGTTCAATCGTGGCGTGCTGACCTTTAAATCTTCCTAAGCTCTAATCACTCCTCACTCCAATCAGGAGTCATCCAGGGAGCAGATATCAGCCCTAATGACGTCGCTTAGCTCGGGTGAGTAGCACGTAACCCTGGGTTTCATGAGGCATTCCCCACTGTGATCTTTCAGCTGGCGAAATCTTTGACCTGAGACTTCAACACCATAAGGGAAGACAGAGGAATGGGGAGGAGGAAAAAAGTGGAGTACAACAGTCTGGATATGTCATTACCAAAGAAGAGCAGAGGAACTGGACTCAGCTTTTGAGCTACAAAAACCATCAGAATGTAAATGTAAAATCCATGTCCTGTTGTTCGTGTCCACCCACAAGATTCTTCTCATTAAAGTGAACCAAAATCTAGCTCTGTTTCAGCTGTTAAGGAAATGCACATGACAACAAACAACTAAGGTCAACAGCCACCATCGAACCTCATATTTCATACTCCTGGCTGCCCACTTCTTGTGCCAAAATTTCCCCAAAATAAATTCCGTGAAAGGACCTCTGTTTTCAATACAGTTTAAAGCTGCAGTCAAAAACAGAGGAAGTCAATTAGAACAGAAAGATAAAGATAAGAAGATGACGATGACAAGGCCTAAACTGAACATTTCCCCCATTTCTTTTTTTTAAATAAACATGGTTTGAGGCCTTAAACAGGAAATGACGTGGCATATATTTATAAAGGCTAAAACTGTATTTTGTCAAGGATGATTCTTAAGACGGACAATAAAGGATGTGATCCACAGATGCCTCACTGTCTTTCTCTCTCTCTGTGTATAAGAGCCAGAACAACTAAGATGAGGAAACTGAGAGACATCCTCTTTAAGGAAATGCCACGGGAATCAAGTCACTGTGGACACACACACACACACACACACACACACACACTGACCCACACGCAAAAGCCTAGTTAGTTATTCCTGCATATTTATATTGTGTCTCATCTGAAATACGTAACACACTTCTACATAGTTAGAAACAGAACCACACTGTGTTCAACCTAAATCAGGACACAGGTCTGCTCTCTCTCTCTCTCTCTCTCTCTCCTTCTCTCACTCTGTGTGTGTCAGTGAGGGAGAGAGCAAAAGAGAGAGAGAGAGAGGATTTTGAGGACAAGACCGTCTTTGTTGCACCTCTCTGGAACCTAGACAAGGAGCCAGGTGCAACTACGGGTAAACACATACAGATGCACACACTTTCAACACAAATGTCACTTTCACACATGCATTAAGACAGACGGACGCACAACCAGAGACACAGGAACATCACACTTCAATACACACACTTCCTTTTCTCTCAGCAAGCATTTCCTGTGGAAAAAAAAACAAAACAAAAAACTCAGAGCTAACGGAGCGTTCACTTTTACCAAATACCAACAAACTATCATTATCATTATCTGA